GAGCTTGAACTGCCGACTTTGCAGTTCAAACGACTTTGCAGTCCAGCGCATTAACCCAGTGTAGCCCAGGACTCCAATAAATGGAATAGACCCGGATTATTCTGAAATAATTAAGAAAGAATTTGTAGAGAACATAAAAGAGGGGTTCATACGGAAGTTACACATGTGTGTGAGGAATGTTCTCCCGAGGTGCAGCTCACTAACTTGAGCAGTGATGGTGGGGCCAGGAAAGCAGAGAGCTGCCCATGGTCCCTCTGGACAGTGGGAAGCAGAGGGTGTGAGAGGAGCCAGCGTGCTGCTGATCCAGGGAACTAGGCAGAGAGACAGCCTCTTCCCCTCGGCCTCTGCTGAGGAAAAGCACAAACGTGCAGCAGTGTTGAGACTTCTACAGTGAGCACTCACGCTCACATAGCCATCATCTGCATCCTGATGTTAACACCTGACTTGCTTTGTCACATTAATCTGTCCGTCTGTCCGTCCATCCATCCTTTTTATTTTCTCGATACATTTCGCAGCGGTGACACCAACACACTACCTCTGCGGACTACAGCATGTACATCATTAAATGGAGTTCAGTGTTCATGCCGTTTTGTGTTTGGATAACAACTTATGTGCAGAGTAATGCCTGCATTTGCAGTGTGCATTTGGTGCGTTGTGACAAATGCATGCGCCTCTGTAACCTAGAGCCTGCGGAAGTACAGGGTGTTGCTTTGAGCCCCAAAGTTCCCTTATGGCCCTCTCCAGTCAGTATGTGCCTCAGAGGCAGCCCTGTTGATGGGTTTTGTCTGCCCGAGAATCCCACTGCAGTGGAATGATTCTGTGTGCACTCCCTGTGTCTGGCTTGTGTTGCGCAGCATAGTGGTAGTGAGATTTCATCCATGGTGTAGCATTGATCAGTAGGCCCGCGCCTGTTTACTGCTGGTCAGTTACTCCACCCTACCATGGGTCTGGACCACCTTTTGTGTCTCCATTCTTCTGGTGGGCATGCGGACCTTGCAGTATTTTGTGTCGTGGATGAAGCTGCTGTCAACATCGTGCGGGAGACTCTGTGTTGACTGTAGTGTGGTCTTCCTTGGGTAAATGCCTAGGGTAGAACTGCTTCCCTTTCACAGGGCATGGGAGTCCTGGCCGCTGGGCATGTGACTCGCCAATCTTCTGTACGGTACTGCCATTCTTACCATTTTAGTTGTTTGGATGGATTGGCAGTTCAAACCCATCAGCTGCTCTGAGGGAGAAAGATGTGGCTGTCTGTCCTGTAAAGGCCTAACAGCCTCAGCCACCTTGTGTAGGGCCCTGTGGGTTGGCACTGACTGGATAGCACTGGATTGGGTCTGGTGTGGATGGGTGTCAATTGTACTCATTTGCATTTCCTTGGGAACTAGTGATGTCCAGCACTGGGCTGCTCATCACAAAGTTGGCAGTTCAAACCCGCCCACGGCTCCTTGGAATCCCTACACAGGATTGCTGTGAGTCGGAACCAACTTAACAGTACACAATAACAACAACATTGGACATTGTGTTTTGTATTTAGTTCACAATTTTGGCCATGTTTTTATCGGGTTATTTGTGTAACTCGCAAAGAGAAAGCACACACTTATCCTTACCTTTTGTCTGGGCACACAGTTAGTAGTCTTGTGTTTGTCACTCTGGGTCCACCTCCACATTCTGCAAAAGCACTTTATATCCCACCCTTTTGCCCTGAAGAACAAAGGTACAAATGCAATTTCATTTACCATACTCTGTCTCAGAGTTGAAAAGACAACCTTAGACCTCTATGCTGTCCTCTGAAGGGGACGTGACCGTCTATCAGATGACAGCCTAACCTTCTAGGCCTCAGTTACCTTCCCTAGGAATAGTGTAAGAGAGGGAAGAGATAATTCCTGCCCTACCTGTCACATAGGGTTATGATCACATGATGTAATGCAGGTGACAGTACTTTGATGACAGAGCTCCAAGAGATCATCGGTTCCTTTGATTTGGAAGACAGGCATGATCTTAAAGTCACGAGGTGCTGACAGAGAGTTGAAATCCAATAGAAGGAAGTCAAAGCAGGTAGAACCACCTTCAGTACGAACCTTCCGACTTCTCTCAGTAGGCACTGTTTGAAGGGGAGGCATTGGGGAATGAATGCCATTAGCTTACTTAAATGTAATATGCCTGCGATGTGCCTGTTCCCTCCGTAACTACTTTTCTTTCTCAAATGTCAGGTATAAGAGGAAAGGAGACTCCTGCCTCGGCATTAACCCAAAGAAGCAGTGTGTATCTTGGGAAGGGGCGCCCACAGAAAAGAAGCACTCGCACAAGCGTCTAGAACGTTACTTCACGAAGAAAAGCGTGGGGTTGCTGAGCACTGATGGCGTGGCTGTTAGCTGTCAAACCGCACTGCCCTCATCGGAGCCACTCTCGTTCATACGAGTGAAGGACTTGGATGACCCGACCCTTCCTGTGCCAACCTCGGTGAACCCTCTGGGCATCTATGACCATTCCACCACACAGTGGCTGCAGGGACAGGGACCTTCAGAGCAAGAGTCAAAGCCTGCAGACTCACAGCCAGACAGAGAACAGGCCGCTCTCAAGGCCAAGGTGGAGGAGTTTAACAGGAAGGTTCGGGAGACGCCTCAGGACACCCAGCTGTGGATGGCCTTCGTCGCTTTTCAGGTAGGTGTGACCGTAAAGTAAACCCACTGTCGTAGACTCAGCTCTGACTCATAGTGACCCTGTAGGTCAGAGTAGAGCTGCCCCACAGGGTTTCCGAGGTGGTCACCTCCACAGAAGCAGACTGCCACATCTTTCTACTGTGGAGCAGCGGTGGGTTCAGACGGTCAATCTTTCAGTGCGCCACCAGAGCTCTCTCTGCATTAGCATGACATCCTTCATTTTGTGCAAACCTGTTCCATCTGCAGCCGTTTTTGAGCTCCTGGGAGGCACCCTAGTATTGGGCATCTCAGGTACCTGCTCTGAGCTTGCTTCAAGTCCACTGAGAAAGATGGACATGTGAGTCAGTGCAGCCCGGGGTCAGCAGTGCTGGACACGTGGTGCCATTGGGTAGTGGGGAGAAGAAGGGAGAAACGGGGACCTGAAGGAACCTGGGAGGCAGTGTAGGCGTTCTCCAGGCAGGGAGCCGCTGTTCTGAAGTGCACGTGGCACACGCAGGCAGACAGACACACAGTAGAGCTCAGGGGAGGGCTGTTCCAGAGTGACCCTCACCGGAGCCACTCTGCCTGTCTAGCCTGTGCTTGCTCTGCCCCCAGTCTGGAACCACTCTTGACTGGTGGCTAGGGTTGGCTCTTCAGAGAAGGGCTTTCACAGTATTTGGTGCTGGTGGTGGTGATTGGTTCTGACCCTGTGCAGGGTTTCTGAGGGTGCAAACTCGCACAGGAACAGAAAGCCTCATCTTCCTCCTTAAGAGCGACTGCGGACCTTGTGGTCAGCAGCCTCACTTGTAATCCTCGGCACTACCAGGACCCCTTGGATTTTTTGCTTTGTTGTTGTTAAGTGCCATCGAGTCAGTTCTGATCCATTGCAACCCTGCATAGGGTTTCTGAGGAGTGACTGGTGAGCTTGAACCATCAACCTTGTGGTTCAAACAGACTTTGTAGTCCCGCGTATTAGCCCACAACGCCACTCCAGGCTTCCGTATTTTGTGCTAGATACTGGTCTATTACTAAGTTTAAAATTTCCAAGTGGACTGGTAAATCAGGTGAAATCAACACTCGATCAGACATGGGCTGATACAGGTACCCTAGCAACCAAGTTCTTAAGGAAAGAAAAGATCCAGTGTTTACTGAGAAGGTCTGAGTGACACTTGAGAGGAAGATCTGCTGGCCGTGGTCAGTTCCTCTCTGGGTGCCAAGGCACTTCTGAGACTCACCTGCTCGTGTTGTGTTTTGTTGTTGAGGACGAGGTCATGAGGAGGCCAGGCCTGTACGCTGTTGACGAAGGCGAGCAGGAGAAGCGGAAACGGTCCCTGAAACTCATCCTGGAGAAGAAGCTGGCCATCCTGGAGCGGGCCATTGAAAGCAACCAGAGCAGTGTGGACTTGAAGTTGGCCAAGCTGAAGCTCTGCTCCGAGTTCTGGGAGCCCGGCACTCTGCTCAAAGAGTGGCAGAAGCTAATATTCTTGCACCCCAACAACACAGCCCTTTGGCAGAAGTACCTTCTATTTTGCCAGAGCCAATTTAGCACCTTTTCAATATCAAAGATTCACAGTCTTTATGGAAAATGCCTGAGTACTCTGTCTTCTGTTAAGGATGGCAGCATCTTATCTCACCCCGTGTTGCCTGGCACCGAGGAGGCCATGTTTGGTAAGGAACCACGCACCCATCTGTGGACGTGGGCTAGTTATCTTTTCTTTGTGCTTGAGTTGAAAACGAGGGTTGTTTTTTGCTTTATTTTAGAAAGTCTAAGTGGTCTGATAAAACCCATTTGAGATGTCTTATGGCTCCTTTGGGGTATAACAACAGATCTGCAGTTTCCCCTCTGTGCCAGGAAGATTCGATACTGCCGAAGAGACAGCAGTTAGAAAACAGCCATGGGATTGGAAGTCCCAGCTTCTCTGCTTAACTAAATTGTTGTTGATCTTAAGTGCCGTTGAGTGAGTTCTGACTCATAGCGGCCCTGTATGGGGTTTCTAAGGAACGGCTGGTGGGTTTGAACCTCTGACTGTGCGGTTAGCAGTCCAGTGCTGACCGCCCAGCACTTCACCAGGACTCCGGTTAACGCAGCAGATGTAGTCAAGTTTCCTAACTACTTTGGCAGCCTGTACCATTCGAGGGTCTCATTCAATCGTGTATGTGAGATGCGCCGACTCACTGGAAATCACAGCACAGATGGGAACTTGAAGCGTGCCTTTGCCCTTTCCTGGCTTTTGGCTTGTGCTCCAGTTTCTCCATCAGCAACACTCCAGTGAGTCGGCTTGTCTCACGCATGTGTTGAGTCTAGTTCAATGCCTACCTAGTAGGTATTCATTGGATTGCCTACCATTGGGTTTTATTGTTGGTGTCTAAAGATATACATTTAACCACACAGACTTGTCTATCCCTATAGTGTCTATTGTTAAGTGCCGTAAGTCAGTTCAGGCTTATAGCGACCCTGTATAGAGCTTCCGATGAGTGGCTGGTAGACTTGAACCACCGTCCTTGTGGTTCAAACCAACCTTGCAGTCCAGTGCATTAACCCGCAGCACCACATCCCTAGTGTCTATATCACATATGATAACCCTAAATGGCTCAATGTTATTTCACAACTGGAACTGTACCTTAGCTGCTGCTGCTAATGCTGTTGAGACTGTTCCAATTCATAGCGACCCTGGATAGGATTTACAAGAATCAGCTGGTGGGTTTGAACTGCTAACGTGGTGGTTCACAGTCCACTGTTGATTCTAGAGCACCACATCAGAAGTGTTAAGGCCAAGTAAAATTTCCCAATACCAAACGTGTTGTCCACGGACTCTGCTTTGATGGAAAATTGCTCAGTAGTGCCACCTAGTGATCAACTGAGTACAGACCTTGACTTTCTGATGAAACTGTTAAATCATCCTTCTAATTTTTCTTGTAGTAATGAGCTTGGTCGCTATGGGTCGGAACCAACTCGACAGCACTCAACAACAACAACAACAATGAGCTTGGAGTGTTTGCGCTTCCAATATTGATACGAACCTCCTGACTTATTTTTTGATCTTCATAGTTGAATTCTGTGATGGCTTTATATGAAAATTAGAGTATGTATACTGTATACTTTGATGATAGTGTTGTAAGCCCTTTTAAACCAGGACATATATACAGTACATATATGGTGTGGCGCTGTGCGTTCATGCCCTGGACTGTGAAGTTGGTTTGAACCACAAGGTCAGCGGTTCAAGCTCACCAGCTGCTCCTCAGAAACAGTGTTTACACATCCTGGTTTGAAAGGGACGTATACGAAATGTATATGTAATTGCATATGTACCATTGGATATGTAATTGTTTTTAAGTGCTGTTGAGTCGGTTCCGACCCACAGCAACCCTGTATAGGGTTTCCGAGGAGCGGATGGTGAGCTTGAACCACCGACCTTGCGGTACCAGCACATTACTCCACAGTATTATACCAGGAGTCCATATGTGTACTCCGTATGAAAGCAGCTGTGTTTTTCCTCCTTAATGGTGTAACTCTGCTCCTGAGCCTCTGGCCTCCCCATTTGCAGCCCTCTTCCTTCAGCAGTGCCACTTCCTGCGGCAGGCTGGCCACTCGGAGAAGGCGGTCTCTCTGTTCCAGGCCATGGTCGACTTCACCTTCTTCAAACCCGACAGCGTGAAAGATCTGCCGACCAAAGGACAGGTACCGACTGGTGTCAGTGTAGCTGGCCTCTGTCTGTCTGTGTGTGTCTCTGGGGGGAAGGTGTGGATAATGGCAGGTGGTGGTGGTCTTTTCACAATGTAATATCCGCCTTGAGATCCTCAGGACTGTTGCTCAGAAATCTCCTGGTGAAAGTCATAGAGCATGGTATGTGAAAATAGGGCTTTTTAGTTGTTGTTGTAATAAAGCTTCTTCCTTTCTGGTGGCCCTGTTTAAAGCCTAGTTGTCTATCAGTCCGGGAAGTGGCTGCCATGTCTTTTTCAGGCACGTGTCCCTCTCTTCTGGCCCGGTCTTGTATTACCCCCCGAGTCAGCTTTTCCACTCCCTAAAGTCTCGGCTAGAACTGCTGGTGCGGTGACTGGTGGCATTTGGTCAGCAACAGTTCTAGCTGTGGGCGGGAGATCTGGGCCATCACAGGTGACCATGGCCAATATTGGTGATGTCTGATCACCACATTAGACATACAAGAAAACCTGTCTTTTCCCTTTTCCACTGAAACAAGAGTTTTCTACTCTGCAGAGAGGGTTTCGTGGAGGACAGATGTTAAGTGCCATTGAGTCAGTTCCAACTCATAGCGAGCCTGTGTAGGGTTTCTGACGCTGTAAATCCTTGTGGGAGCAGGAACCCTCGGTTCTCTTCCACAGAGCAGCTGATGGGCTCGAACTGTTGACCTTGTGGTTCATAGTCCAGTGCTTATTCTACAGAATCATCATGCTCCCAGAGGATGGCTAGGGTATCTGAATTCATGATGCTAAGGTAAAATTTCAGGAATTGCTAGTAAAGATCATTCTTTATGTTGGTACCTAAGGATGATACCAGTTAATAATGCCACTTGTTCATCTAATAAGCCAGCTAATAAAAATACTATGTTTTAAAAAATGCCAGGGGACTTCAGAAAGTTGGTGGGAGAATTCCATGATCTTTATCATTCCGTGTTTCCATGCACCTTCTGAAGTCCCTCGTACTCTAATATTCTAAATGCTTGCTACAGAAGTGATTCCTAACAGACTCGAGGACTGGGACAGCTTTCTCTGATGAGGGCTTGCTGGGCGCTGCCCATGACTGGAGGGAGGAGCCCAGGGCTCTGAAGTGTCTGGAAATCAAATCCCAATCCAGCCTTTTATTCTACATGAAATAAATGGCCTTTATAACCTACAGACGGGAACAGGAACCGGTCAGTCTGATGCTGGTCTGTTTCTGTGGAATAAACCAACTCCTCGTGACCACTTGCCACGTCCTTCCTCCTTCCACTCCAGCCCACCTCCTTCCATCCTGCCTTCAGAGCAAATCGTAGCGGGAGCGAGTGCCATCTCTCAGCTGCCCTGACTGAGCGGGCCCACATTCGGCCACTCACCCAGTTCTCTCATGTCCCTTGGAGACAGCGCTCTCCCCTGGCCTCAGGCTGGGTAATGCCCTGGTTCCTGGCATGTGGTGTGCCTGGGGGACGCCTGCTTGTCCTCTTTATAGACACAGTCAGTGAGCAGGGTACCAGCTCACCTGTTGTACATTGATACCACAGTTACCCTGTTGTGCTTAAATCTGTCCACTGGATGATGGATTGACAGTGAACTGGTGACCACATGTTGACCCAGTGCCCAGTGAGGACAGGAGGCCTCCTGCAGCTTAACACCACAGACCTTTTTATTCTACATCTGTGCCAGAAGCACCGTAGGGAGTCCCTCCTGTGGTCTGGGCCACGTGCTCGCAACATAATGTGACTTAGGATGTGGTTGTGCCCTAAGGGCTCGCAGCCTGTCCTTGGAAACCTTGAGTCCCTTCCCCTCAAAGATCTTGGAAGCAGGGATCAGGTAGGGGAACTGGCAATGCCAGCATCCCCAGGGGACTGGGAAACACTCCTCGGGCACCCAGCTGCAGGCCCAGCTCGCTAGTCCCTGTTACTCAGTCTTGGGAGTGTCGCCTCTTCTCTCTGCTGTATTCGGGTCACCAGAAGGCCCAGCTGTTCCCAAGGGAAGAGGACTACACACGGGTGGCATGTGGCAGGGCTCGGGCACCAACCACACTGGATACAGGCAAGCAGACCTCAGGCTATCTCGCCAGATGACCACAGTAAAGCAAAGGTACCAGTAAAGCACGTCGCATAACTTGTGGTGTCCTAGCGGAAGTCGTGTTTACGTTGTACTGTAGTCTAAGTGTGCCGTGTTGTTAGGTGCTGTTGAGTCGGCTCTGACTCAGCGACCCTAGAACGAAACACTGCCTGGTCTTGCACCAACCTCACAATTGTTGCTACATTGATTCAACTTGAGCCCCCACAGCTGCTGCCACAGTGCCACTCCAGCTCATTGGGGGTCTCCTTCTTTTTTGCTAATGCTCCACTCTACTAAGCATGATGTCCTTCTCCAGGGACTGGTCCTTCCTGGTGATAGGTCCTAAGTATGAGAGATGAAGTCTCACCAAAGTTTGAAATACCCTGAGAATTACAAAAAGTAACCCACTGTCCAGCTCAGGGTTGCCACAAACTTTCCATTTATAAAAAGTGCAGTAACTGTGAACTGCAATAAAGCAAAGCGTCCCTGCAACCAATTTTGCTCTTTGGAAGTGTGTATCAGATCTGTCAGAGACTGATCGCAGACTGATTTCAGCTCCATGCCCAGTGACCTGCAGGCTTTTCTAACCTCCATGTTTTAATCCAAAACAGGTGGAATTCTTTGAGCCATTTTGGGACAGCGGTGAACCCCGGGCTGGGGAGAAGGGGGCCCACGGCTGGCGAGCATGGATGCACCAGCAGGAGCGAGGTGGCTGGGTGGTCATCAACCCAGGTAAGGCGCCTCTCAGCCACAACGTAACTTGTCTGCCTTTCAATTCTGGAATTTCTATTAATTTTTTTGTGGGTACAAAAGTCTCATATTTCTACCAAGGAGTGGCTGGTAGCCTTGGAGCGACCTTGTGGTTCACAGGCTAGTGTTTATCCTACAGAATAGTAAGGATTTATCATGCATTCCTTTGATATTCCCTCTTGCTTATTTCTTGTCTCTTGTCTTCACTTCCTGCTTGTCTGTAATTGTTATGTAGGAAATGGCTAAAATGGTTTTCAGTTTTCTTTCCGTTCTATTTCATGGTCCGTGTGCCTGAACGGACTCTGTTTAAAACCATGTAATTCTCGGAATTCTTAATGTAATAAATTCAGAAAGCTAGGCCTAATGTGTAACTCAGGAAGAATCTCTTGTGGAAAGAGTCAGAGTGATTTAAGGATTATTTTAAATCTAGAAGGAGATAAATTATTAGATTTTAATTATCTCTGAGTCACTCAGGTTGTTTGGTAAAAGATTGGAGTTTAAAATGCTAATTTACTTGTGCATGTATTTAAATTGTTTTTTTATTTACTGATTTAATTTTGGGTTTTTGAGATACTTATCAGAGACACGTATAAGTTGCAAAGAAGTTAGAGAGGTCCTGTGTCCTCCACTCTGTTCCTCCCAGTGATAATGTCTTGTAGAACTCGAGTACAAGTTCAAAATCAGAAAATGGATTAATACAATCCACAGAGCTCCTTCAGATTCCACTAGCTTTACTTGTATTCTCCTCTGTGTGTGTGCAACATGATGCAATATTATCACGTGTTGTCGAATCAGTTCTGATTAATTGACACGGTATAGTTTTGGGGCTTGAATCTTTGAGGAAACAGAAAGCCTCATCGTTCTGCTGAGAAGTGGCTGGTGGCCTCAAACTGTTGATCTTGTGGTCCTCAGTCCAGTACTTGTGCTCCTAACCATGTGTACTTGTGCTCCTAACCATGTGTATAGTTTTGTGTAATCGTCACCACAACGAACATGCAAAACCGTTTCAACATCACCATGGGTTCTGTGGGGCTGTCCCATTACAAACCCACCCGCCTTCCCTATTCCTGACATTCACTTCACCTCTATGATTTGGTCACACCATGTCATGAATCCTGTGTGAATGGAGTCATGCTCTATACATATGATAGGATTCTGTTACCTTTTCATTCCACCTTCCCATGAACTTTTCAGAGCCCCTTTGACACTGTCGCCCCTGTATGAGCATCGGATGGTTGAAGCTGTCTGAACCTTTTATTGCTACGTTGTCTTTCTGCATAGAAGTCCCGCAATTTAACCATTCACATGCTCAAGGATGTCTGAGTTGTTTCTGGTTTGGGGCTATTGTGAATGAAACATTCACGAATGTTTATGTACACATTTTTTGTGTGATCATAGATTTTCATTTTCCTAGGGTGGATGGCCAAGAGTGCACTCGCTGGGTCCCATGACAAGTGTGTGTCTAGTCTGATAAGGGAAACTTGGTGGCTTCATACGATAAACACTGGATTGTGAACCACAATTTCCGTGGTTTGAGCCCACCAGCCGCTCCTCAGGAGAAAGATGAGGCTTTCTGCTCCTGCCAAGATTTAAAGCCTCAGAAACCCTGATAAAGAACTGTCAAGCTGGTTCCTGAGTGTCCCGTTTCAAGCTGGTTCCTGAGTGTCCCGTTTCATATTCCTTGGTTATTATTTTATGAGCTCTGAATGTTTCACTTTACAGATGATTCAGACTTTTATCCTTTTTCCACATCTGCAGAGTTAGGAAGCAAAGTGAAATCACTTTAGCATAGCTTGAATTCTTGATTTTTTTTCTAAGTAAATTATAATAAGCATAGGTCAAATAATTAATTGCTAAAAATGGCAATTGTTTAAGGACTGAGGTAGGCAATTCAGACCCACCAGCTGCTCTTTGTAAGCCTTTAGAGGGTCACTAGGAATCGGAACTGACTCAATGGCACTTAACAACAAGGATACCTTTTATTCAGTGTGATTTAGAGTTCTAGAACTGTCCTGTCCCATACACCAACCACTAGTGACAGTTAAAGCAATCGCCCATTAAGTCACATGAGGCTGGCGGCTTCTGTCCAGGACAGGGTGGACCTTGAACGTTTCCCTCCGCACAGAGTCACTCTGCCATGCGTCACTCCCAGGTTAACTGCTGTGGCGTCCTTAAGCCACCTGAGTTCATCCAGCCCTCTGCCCATGTCCCCAGGAAGCTAATTACTAACACAGGACGGTAGCTCTGGGTGCCCAGCACCGAGCCTGCCAGAGAGAGGGTGACAGGGTCGAGGGGGGTTGGTTTGCTGACTCGGTAAACCCCAAGTCTTAACTCTTGTCTAGATGAGGATGACGATGAGCCTGAGGAAGATGACCAGGAGATCAGAGACAAGAGCCTGCCCAGGGCTCAGATCTGGCTGGGTGCTGAGCGGTCCCGTGACCAGCGGCACTGGCGACCTTGGCGCCCTGATAAGACCAAGAAGCAAACGGAGGAGGATTGTGAGGACCCGGAGAGGCAGGTAGGTGGACTCTTCCCCTGTCCTGTGGTGCTGACCCAGCAGCTGGCCTCAGGACTTGACTGGTTTCCGAGGTGTCTGTGGACACCCCCTCCCGAACCACCCCCAGCATACAGATAGAGGGATAGATAGGGACCACCCAGCGTACGCTCTCATGGTCACCCCTCTGGAGACTGCCTTCCAGCTCATTCTGTTCCTTCGTCACCCGGAAGCCTGTGAGGGTCTAAAACTCACTGCCGTAAATTGTGCATTGTGTCCGCTTCCTTCCCCCAGCGCCCTCTCAGCTCCACAGTCAGCAGATAGCCATCACTCCCGTACGCGTGACTGCAGGAGGAGCTGATGTGTGTTAAGTACCAGGCACCTCAGGCGTGTCAGTCACCTCCTTTATTGTCATAGTGACTTGGTACCTGCAGCTCCGTGGGAGTCACATGACAATAAAGGCAGACATTCTATTTACTCAGTCAGTGTTCCTCGAGTGCCAAGTGAGTATTTGATGAGCACCTAGAACATGCAAGAGTGGCAAGACTGGAGTTTGGACACAGTGCATGGGTGGATAGGCTGAAGGGGAAGGTGGTATCTGGGTAGCAAGGAGGGGCCTGCCGGCTGCTTGTAGGCTCCTGTCCTGGCTAGAGGCTCCTGTCTCCATAAGAGCCAGGTTGTTCGAGCTCATCCTTCAGACTGGAAAGGATGACGGCTTCCAGGCAGCACGTATCTGGGGCAGACTCCTGTCCTTTAGCTCTCCTCTGTTCTAAGCCTTTGTGAGGAACGCGTTTGGCTTTGACTAGTGGAGTCCCAACAGTGCCGCTGCTCTGGCTTCCTCTTTGTGGCGAGCCCATCAGACAGCATCTGTGACAAGGGAGTGGTTCTCCCCCCTTCTCCCCTCCTCCCAGCCAGGCCTTGTGCCACGTGAAGTCAGCCACAAACCTGTACAGTTCGGTAAAAGGCTCACTGTTAACATGGTCCATTGCCTCTCTAGTTCCTCCTTAACTTACTGGCTGTTTATCGATTTCTGAGCCTCTTTCATGGACCAAAGCAATATGGGACAAAGAAAATACTTATCTTTACTCTTAAAATGAAAATGTTGCTTCATTACAACTGATCAAAAGTAACTACATGGACGTATGGCCAGAGACGGGTAAGGATCACGTGGAACCTCGGCTACTTAAGACAGAGCCATTGCCATGCTGCAATGAGTCTCAATGACTGGTAAGACTGAGGAATTTGCACTGACCGCCTAAGACAGGCAGCATCCCTGAAACAATCAATAAATAAGGAGGATTCAGATGCAGACAGTACAGACCCGGTCAGGAGGCCAAGCCCCTGTGGGCCCAAGCGTTGTTGACCGTTCAAACCATAGGCTCTGAGGATCAGACTCTAGCCACCTAGTAGACATAGCAAACTGTCCCTCATCTGATTATTCAGTAATGCTTGTTAGTAATCTCATACATGAACCCTAGATATCCACAGACAAATGTAAAAACCTTCCCTAAAAGCCGAGACTGTAAATTCCAAAAAGCCAAGTCCCCCCCCATCCAAAAAAAAAAGCTAAAGAGGATAGAGAGAAACACTGTAAACTGATGATATATGGCGGGGTCAATGTAATGAAACAAGCTATATGAATGGTTGAATGTGAAGCTGATGATGTGCCCTGTAAACTTTCACTCAATGCAAAATAAAAACATTTAATTAAAAAAAAAAAGTAAAAAGTACAAAAGCACCTATCTATGTGTGCTGTCAGAAGTGTGCATGCTTCCCCTGATCTTACTTCCCCATTGTGGCACCTAGAGATCCCCCGCTCCAGCCTGCTGGTCTCCCCACGCCCAGCACGGCAGATACTGTGTGGATGCTCAGTGCCCTGCAGGGCTGCGGCGGTCCTCTTCACAGTTCTTTAGAGGCCACTGTGAGGTTTGTGTCCTTCAGAAAACTTGCCATTCTTGTTTGTTAGCTGCCGTAAGTTACAGGGCTGTGATCTTTTTTTTTTTTTTTTTTAACCACATGTGGCTAAGGCCTACTGAATCTACTGAATCAGCCCGTGCAAGAGACAACAGGGCCTTGGTCTCAGGAAGTTCTGCCCTGAGGCCTGGGAGTCTCCCACGGAATCTTCTCCAGAGGCCTGCAGATGAGGGATCTGAGGGAGCATGGAGGAATCAGGCCTGGAAGTGGGGGATCGGTCTAACATCCATAATGTCACTGGCCAGAACTCCACACATAGCTGCAAGGAAGGTCGGGAAAGTAGGAGTCTCCTGTGTGTGTGCAGCAGAGTTAATCCACAGGAACTGCACCTGAATGTGTCTGTTTCAGACTCCATTCACCCTAAGCTGTGTTTTGAATTTGGTTCAGTTCAACAAAGATTTGTTAAAGTGCACTTTGTCCTAAATCTCCACATACAAAGGTCTTAAGAAAACAGCGCAAACATCATCATCTCAGATAGAGTGGTGGGGTGCACACAGAGGAACTGTAGGGAGAGATAATAGGTGGACGGCAGGGGCCATGCCTTTGGCCGCTGGTCACTGCGGGTGTTGGGTACATCTTAAAAACCAGCATGAGAGCTATTTCAAAGACCTCCAGCAGCATCCAAGCCCCCTGAGAAAAGTGTGTATGTTTGGGGGAGACAAGGCCACCAGGTTTGGAAATGAAGAAGTGATCGTTGACTTTTAAGGGAGAAGATTTCAGTAGAAATTTCAGGAAGGGAGTCAGAATTTACGAACTGAAGAATGAAAAGCTGGGTGTGGAATTGTCCGTGTGATTTGATGTAGGGAGAGAGGGAAGGAAGGGCTGTTTTGCTTTTATGTCTTCCTCTACGTGTCCTTCTATAAAGGATCAGGGAGGGGGCGCTCGATGTTTGGAAGATCATCTTGGAGACAGTGGTTGTAGACAGAACAGTATTTCTAGCTTTGAGAGTCTCCCTGAATGGGTCCAGAGGTTCATTAGGTGTGGAGGGTTTGCATGTGACACGTGAACTCTAGAGACCTGACCCCTGTGTCCAGGACTGTTTGCTTCCACAGTGTCCTGCAGAGGCTCGAACTACCAAACCACTCAGGCCACCAGCTCCTTGGATACCATTGAGTCACAAGTACCTAAGTCCCGGGGACTGCTGCCAAGGCTGCACTTACCTCAGCAGACCCGCCGTTTCTGTTGCAGGTGTTGTTTGACGACATTGGGCCATCTCTGATCCGACTCTGCAGTCCAGACCTTCGGTTTCAGCTGGTGGAGGCCTTCCTGCAGTTCCTGGGCGTGCCTTGTGGCTTTACTCTTCCCGCCTCATGCCTGTATCTGGCCATGGACGAGCCCAGTGTCTTCCGTGGTAGACTTCATGAGGAGCAGCCGCTCACTGGTGCCAGCCCTTCGTTTTCTGGTGTGAGCTGTGTCGGCCGCATGGACCGGTTTGGCTGTCAGCGCTGGACCAGGGCCCAGGGCCGAGAGGGCGAGGAGTTCATCCGCAACGTCTTCCACCTGGTGTTGCCTCTGTTTTCAGGCAAGGAAAAGTCTCAGCTCTGTGCCTCCTGGTTACAGCACGAGAAGGCAAAGGTAAGAGCGGCATCCTCCTTGGCCCAGACCCTGCGCTCTTTCAGTGGGTCCTCTGCACAGTGGGGCTGCATCCCCTCTCTTCCATGGGGTAGCACATCCCCTCTCTTCCATGGGGTAGCAGAGGAATGGGAGAAACTCCAGAGCTGTGCATTGTGGTGGTGGTGTGCTGTGTATGTTTATATGAAGAACCAAGCGTAAGCCTTAGCAGCGTTAGAGGACTTAGTGGCTACTTAAGACAGATAAAATAAGCTGCTTGCTCACCTACTCTGTTATTATTAAATGCCATCGAGTCGATTCTGACCCCAAGCAACCCTGTATAGGGTTTCCAAGGAGCAGCTGGTGAGCTGGAAACTGACCTTACAGTTCAAATGACTCTGCAGTCTGATGCATTAGCCCAAAGTGCCACACCAGGACTCCACACTATTGTTATTAGATGCCATCGAGCAGGTACCAACTCATAGCAACCCTATGCATAGCAGAACAAAACACTGCCCAATCCTGGGCCAACCTCACCACTGTTGCCACGCTTGAGTCCATCGATGCTGCCACCTGGCCAATCCATCTCGTTGGTGGTCTTCTTCTTTTTCTCTGACCCTCCACCTTACCAAACATGATATCCTTCTCCAGTGACTGGTCCCTCCTGACAATATGTCCCAAGTAAGAGAGACAAAGCTTGGTCATCCTGGCCTCCAAGGGGCACTCTGGCTGCAACACGGATCTATTGGTTCTTTTGGCAGCCCGTGGCACTTTTAATATTCTCCAACACCATAACTCAAATGCGTCAAATTCTTCTACAGTCTTCCTTCTTTACTGTCCAGCTTTTGCATGCATATGAGGTTATTGAAAATACCATGGCTTGGGTCAGGCGCACCTTAGTCCTCAAGCTGACACCTTTACTCTTCAACACTTTAAAAAGTTCCTGTGCAGCAGATTTGCCCAGTGCAATACGTCGTCTGATCTCTTGACTGCTACTTCCGCGAGTGTTGATAGTTGATCCAAGAAGAATGAAGTCCTTGACAACTTCAATCTTTTCTCCGTTGATAAGAATGTTGTTTATTGGTCTAGTGGTGAGGATTTTTGTTTTCTTTATATTGAGATGTAACCCATACCAAAGGCTGTGCTCTCTGGTCTTCATCAGTAAATGTTTTAAGTCCTCTTCATTTTCAGCAAGCAAGTTTGTATCATCTGCATATCACAGGTTGTTAATGAGTCTTCCTCCAATCCTGATGCCACATTTTTCTTCATAGAACCCAGCTTCTTGGATTATTTGCTCAGCATACAGGTTGAATAAGCATGGTGAAAGAATACAACCTTGTTGCATACCTTTCTTAATTTTAAACCATTCAGTGTTCCCATGTTCTGTTCGAACAACTGCCTCTTGGTCCAGATACAGATTCCTCTTGAGCACAATGCAGTGTTCTATGAAGCCACACTGGTGGTGGTGGTGGTGGTTATGTGCTGTGGAGTCAGAACCGACTCATAGCGACCCTGTACAGGGTTTCTGAGGCTGTAAACCTTTACGGGAGCAGAAAGCCTTATCTTTGTCCCACTAGGTGCTAGAAATTCGTCTGGGATTGATTGACTGTTCTGCCCTCTACAGGCCACAAGTTAGTATTGAATCTTCACACTCAAGTTCTCGACATTATTAAGACTGTCTTAATGATGTCATGTCTTTTGATAAAATTTGGTAGCCCCTTTGGACATGTGCATGAGATTTCATGTACATGCATTGTTTATGGGAGCGGGTTAATGTGCTGGACTGCGAGGTTAGTTTGAACGACAAGGTTGGTGGTTCAAGCTCACCAGCTACTCCTCAGAAACCCTATACAGGGTTGCTGTGAGTCAGAACCGCCTTCGCTGGCACTTAACAAGGTACCTTTACCTTGGCTCTGTTAAGGCACGCTGATAGCATTCTGTGGTAAGCATTGAACTGCCAACCACTAGGCCAAACCCTCCAGCTGCTCCATGGAAGAAAGATGCCACTGTGTAGCCCCATAAACAACAGCAGTGTTGTAAAGCTTATACAGGATCTCTGTGAGGAGGGATTGACTTGATGACAGCAGTTTGGTTTTGGGTGGTTTAGGGCCCTGCTAGAATCTGAGTTTGATACAGACAATCTGAGTCTTGATACGAGACTCCTTGTGTAGCTTTTGAAAGTTGACAGTAGAGAAGTCGCTTTAAAGTCACAGTGCACTTGAAGCATTTTTTGTATCTGTAGGTCATTTGGTGTCTGCACACGAAAAACAAGAAGAAATTAAAGTCACTAGGAAAGAACTGTAAGAAACTAGCCAAGCACCTCCTTCAGGAACCCGAGAACTGCAGCGCTGTCTGCCTCTGGAAGCAGTATGCACATCTGGAGTGGCTGCTGGGCAACACAGAGGACGCCAGGAAGGTTTTCGATACAGCGCTTGGCATGGCGGGGACCGAACGGCTGAGGGATGCTGAGCTTTGCGAACTCAGTCTGCTCTATGCAGAACTGGAGGTGGGGCTGCTGGGGGACGTGAGCGGGGCCACCTCATCACGAGCAGTCCACGTCCTCACCAGGCTGACTGAGAGCGCCCCCTACGGGCCCTACACTGGGCCGGTGTCGGCGGTTCACATGCTGAAGGCCCGGAAGGCGTACACGCACGTGCTGCAGGACAGCTTGGACGTGAACTGCGGCTCAGACCCGACTCCCAGCAGCTCCGCCAGCCGCGTGGTCAGCGTGGTCAGGTGCTTTATGCTCTTCCAGTACCTGACCACGGGCATTGAGGCCGCCGTGCGGGTGTACGAGCAGGTGCTAGCCAAACTGAAGGGCTCAGGCCCGGGGGACAGTGGCAGCCCCCCTCACAGCTGGGCTGGCGCCCTCGAAGACGTCACCCTGATGCACACACGTCTGCTCCAGTTCCACATGAAAGTCAGCATTTACCCGCTGGCCCCTCTGCGGGAGGCTCTCTCCAAGGCGCTGAAGTTGTATCCAGGCAACCAGACCCTTTGGAGGTCATACATCCAGATTCAAAACAAGTCCCACCATGCCAGCCAGGCCAGGAGATTCTTTGATGCCGTCACCAGGTCTACCAGATCCTTGGAGCCTTGGCTGTTTGCTATTGAGACGGAGAAAACGAGGAAAAGGCTGGTGGAAACTGTTCAGAGGTAACTACTGTTGTCTGTTTCGTGTGATCCATAGAGCCGGCTGGAAGGTGTGCACCATTCCACTAGGTCTCAGGAGTCCCAGAAACGAATATGGAGCCGTGCCTGGATCACGTGCTGTGGGCATTGAGGTGTAGAGTCACCTACAGGAAGAGGATACTTCACACACAGCATCCAGATACCATCTTCCAAAGCCAGGCTTTTTGGGAGTCTAGGTGTTGATGGTGCGCGGGTGGCACCTGTGAAGCCGTAGTGACAGTGTGCAGATTCAGAGCAAGGGCTCAGGAGCTGATCTCTCTGAATTAAGTCCCCAACTCTGCCACTGGGGCTGGGAGTCTGGGACATGTCGCTTTCTCATCTGTAAAATGGGAAACGGTAGAAAACTAAGGGCTTAGCAGAGTGGGATCATGGCTGACTTTCATGATTTTGAATAACAACAGAGTCCGGTTCCCCAGGGCCCGGACACCTTTAGCTTCTTAGTTAGGCAGAGACTTTGCTGACATTTAATTCTGACTGCATCAGTTGGACAAATGCCTTCCAATAGTATTTCGCTTTGTGATTTTATTTCTCCCTTTGGGATTTTATCCACACCATAGGAGTCTCATTTTCTGTATTGAATGGAAAGGTCTTTGCTTCACATACGTTACTATCTGCATCCTACTGACCGAGTCCCTGCACGGCACAAATGGTTAGGCCCACCTGAGAAAGAAGGCATGGTTAGTTAACTACCAAATCAATCAGCGACTAAATAGAACTGGACTACAGTTCTGCTCGAACACACAGGGTGGGGATTGGTGGGCCTCTCGCACAGCCCTGCTCTCTGACACTGTCTAGTTGCTGACATTTGTCCTTCCTCCGGTGATGTAGGACGGATGCTCAGGGTTACACGAGCCTTTCTTTTCCTTGCAGGGTAGAAGGTGGAGAAGTACATGCCACAATTCCTGAGAGCGGCTTAACAAATCGAATCAAAGCCCTGTTTGAACACGCAATCCGGAGCGACAACGGCAGCCAGTGCCCCTTACTGTGGAGGATGTACTTGAACTTTTTGGTAAGAAAATCCATCGGCGTTGCATTTCTGAGAGCTACACTCCTACCTTCCTGTGCGGGAAGGTGTGGGTTTCAGGTGTGCTGTGAGGAAGAGCCAGTTCTCAGCTTTCCATCTGCATGGCTAACCTGAGGCGTGATGTTAATTCTCACAGGGTGTGTGTGGTGCACTGTATATTCAGATTATCTGGAGGAATGAGATGAAGAGTTTGTCTTCTGGGCTGGGAGAGCTTAATGGGGGCTTCTCTGAGCACCTGTCTTAAATCACAGGGGAGAGGGACAGGACATTTATTGGTGACAAATGTCGGTAGACCTTACTGTGGGATTCCCTGAGTTGATATCATCATATTAGCAACTTGTAAAACATTCTTACCAGGGGATTCCCTGAGTTGATATCATCATATTAGCAACTTGTAAAACATTCTTACCACTTTTCCTTAGGTGGCCCAGCATCTCTGCCAGTTTGCTCAGAATCGTGTCAAGGTCTTGATTCTGGTTTCAGTTATTACAAGATTCAATCTAGAATGTGTTTTCTAAAATAGACCATTCCAACACGTCTTTGTATTCATGTTGTTGTTGTTACAATAGAAACACTGCCCAGTCCTGCACCAGCCTCACCATCGTTAGGTGTGAGTGCATTGTGTCAGTCCACCAAGCATGATGTCCTGCTTCCAGGACTGGTACCTCCTGACAGCATGTCCAAAGAACCAAAGAAAGTCTCACCATCCTGTCTTCTAGGGAGCATTCTGGCTGCACTTTAATATTCCCTAACATCGTAACTCAAATGCATCAATTCTTCTATCATCTTCCTTACTCGTTGTCCAGTTTTCGCATGCACGTGTGAAAGGATTGAAAATAAGATTCTTAGTCCTCAAAACTGACTTCTTTGCTCTTGAACATTTGCAAGGTCTTGTGCGTTTGATTTCTTGACTGCTGCTTACATACCAATGTGTTGTTGATGGTAGACCCATGCAAAATGAAGTTTTGACAACTTCAGTCTCTATTCAGTTTTTGTTGTTGTTAAGTGCCATTGTTTTTTCTTGGCTGTGGAGAATATGTGGGGGGGGGGGGAAACTGGGACCAACAACTGATAATTTTCCACCAAGTTTGGGAAGTTCAGTTTATGAGGGCCAGATCAACATACACATCCACGCTGTCAGTGTGACTTTTCTGTTTGAATTAACATTGTGCAGATATTGTCATTAAAGAGTCCTTTAATTTGGTCAGCTCTGGTAGTGTTGTGGTTACGAGTCGGCCTGTTGACCTCAAGGTCAACAGTTTGAAATGACCAGTGGTTCCAGGGGAGAAAGCTGAGGCTTTAGGCTCCTATAAAGATTTACAGCCTCGGACCCCTGTGCAGAGCTGCTATGAGTCGGAACCAATTCCACGGCACACCATCACCACCTGAAGTTTATGGGTTATCTCTTACCCTCCAGTGTTGTCCTTCTCAGTTTTGTTGGTGGCTGGTGGGAGGGAGAAGAATCCTCTTGAGTTCAGTTCACCTCCCTAGTTGATGAGCAAGAAGCCTGTCAGTCTTACACCCCTTAGGAACACTCAGAGAACATCTTACTGAATTGTATCTTTGTGCTTTTGGTTTTTTGGGGGTTGGGTACCACTTCTGTCAGAGTACTTGAAATTATACCGATCTGTTTGTCCTGGGTTAAGAAAAGAGAGATTTTGCAGAAGCCTGAACACCTTCAGCTCTGTCATGCTTTAAGAGATGTTTCTTCCCCCATCTGGAGGTGGCACACTTGAGACAAGAAAGTACAAAAATGCCACCTCCTCTAGGTGGAAAGCTGGATGGATGACATCTCCATTGTCCCTCAGCCCGGCCTACTTCTAACCTCCGCCTGTCCTGGTGGAGAGTCTGCATGTGACTTCAGACAGGCCCGCCCTTCCCTCGCACATAGTACCAGGAGCCGAGTCTCAGATGAACCAGGGCTTCAACTCGGTTCATGCCAGTTTGACACCCCCATCCTCACCCCCCACCCCTGTGCCACCCCTGTGCTGGGAATTTGCATTCCCACTCTGGATATGCTGATTGTGAGTCTACATTTTAACAAGGGACCCCAGAATCCATTAGAATCATCTGAGGATCTTGTTAAACCATTAGAATCATCTGAGGATCTTGTTAAAACATAGAGTAAGGTTCAGTGGGTCAAACTGGAATGAACCAGCCCAGCCCGTAGCCCTGGTAGCTGTGAGACTCGGTGTCTAGTACTCTGGGGGAGGGATAACGGCTCTGGTTCACCCTGAATTCGTTGGCAGAATCTGAGGCTTCCTTAGAGATGCTAACAGCTCTGCTCCTTCCTTATGTGTTTTCTTTGGTGCTGACCTGATAGTTCCCTGAGACACTGCCAGCCTGCCTGAGGAGAAATGTTGTCAGGGTACCATGGTGTAACAATGTGCTAGGAACTGAGGGTCACTCACTGTTGTCTCAGCCCCAACTCAAGAATTTAATAACTCACGGTGTCAAGATGAAAATCTTTAGGTGAGGAAGAATGAGGGGAGCCAGCTAGCTTCTGTGAACTTGTCTTCTCATCAAAAGTTCTATTCTAATAGAGGAAAAAGAGGTGGATTCAAACTTTTTGTGAAAATTTTCCATTATATTTTCCACAAACCCTTTGCAGCCCCTTAGTATACAAGCCATGTATTAGAATGGTCACCAAGCTTTCACCTGTATAAACCTTCCCACACTTGCAGCTCTAAAGTGTCCTCCAGTGGCCAGTGGTTGGAAATCAGGGAGTACAACTCTCATTCGAGGCTTGTCAGCCTATACCTTTCTGGAACTATCTGTTAGTCTCACAAATAGAAAGCGGCCTCATAAAATTCATAGACTTGAAAGAGAATGGAATTTTTCCATGAACTTTTTGATGACTGGTTGAGGAAGAACAGTAGTAACAATTTTTCTTACTTTTTTCAAAAGAAAGAGAGCAACAAAAAAGTTAATCAGTATTTTTAGGATGGGACCTTGCATTCTTTGGGCATGAGAGGAAACACAGGAGTCCCCTGCCAAGTGAGGCCCTTAGAGGGGTAGGGGATGACTGAGCCCTGCCTGAAGCTCACAAGTGGGAATTACCTTAAAAGACTGGACAGAAAATGTGGTAGAATTCTTTGATGGTAGAATTCCTGGGAGGTCAGTTGAAGCTCTAGCCATCATTGGCTGGGTTTCCTGGGAGGTCAGTTGACAATCCCTGTGGGAACAGGCATCTGGTGGAGGACGGGCTGGGTGAATCCGACTCCAGCTTCGTGCCATCAGAACTGCACACGCCAGCTGCCTGTGGACAGCCTGTATTTCCCAAGAGAGGCTGAGAGTGTCCTGGCTAGGCGAGACCACAGACTCCTGCTGCTCACCTCCTGGGCTGGGAAGACTGAGAGAAAATCTGCTGAGAAAGTGTACACTCGCAGACTGTTTTCTTTTCATAATGTTGTTGATGTGATGCTGTGTGCTGACCCATAGGAGAGGAGACTGTGCATCTTTATGGGAGCAGAAAGCTTCATCTTTCTCCCGCGAACAGCTGACCTACTAGTTAGCAACCCTACCACGTCCGATTATCTCATGTCTCTAAAAAGATAGTTTTCGGCAAGTAATACAACAGGTATTAGAGCCAATATTCTCCTTGTGTACGATCATCAGCCCCACTTCACAGCCCAGGATCTTTAACCAAGCATGTCTTGCCAGGAAAGGACAGCTCACAATACAAGAGAAACAAAGCCTTAGAATGAGAAGGAGTCAAGGTCAGCGTTCTGGGGAGGCGTCTATAGTACTGGCTGTATGAACAGGCCCGCTGATGGCGCCAGGCCGGGCACACAGGCTGAGCTGCTGCCGCTCGAGCGCCCCCTCTAGACTAGGCAGCTACAAGAAGGGCTTATGCAGGCTCTCCATTTCAGTTGTTTTTCTATTTTTTCCTTGTCTCAGGTTTCATTAGGAAATAAAGACAGAAGCAAAGGTGTCTTCTACAAAGCACTTCAGAATTGTCCCTGGGCAAAGGTAAGTTTTAAAAGCTGTAATGGCGTCAGATTCCCATGGATCCAACCTTTCAGGTTGTAGTCTGAAAACTGCCTGTCCAGCCCCTGTGTCATCTGGACCCCAGTTCTGAGGATGCCAAGACGCCGTCCCAGGGTACTATATATATGGTGTAACTGCCTGGCTTGGAGTCTGAGCCATAGCTGTGTTGTGTCCTGGAGCGTGCCTGAGTGGGTTAGGAAGGCCACATACTGGAGGGTGGGCAGCAGTAGTCTCATTAGGACCTGCTCATTTGCTCAGCTCTGGCGGCCTAACTCGGGCGCTCCCTCCCTCCCCACTGGTTCGTAGGTGTTGTACATGGACGCTGTGGAGTACTTCCCTGATGAGATGCAGGAGATCCTGGACCTAATGACAGAGAAGGAGCTGCGGGTGCGCCTGCCCATGGAGGAGCTGGAGCTCCTGCTGGAAGACTAGAGGCTGGTGTGAGCACTGCATCATGGGTCACACGTGCGTGTGCGGTTTTTGAGATGCTTTCTTGATCATTGTGTCAGGTCATCAACCTCCCACACATTGTTAGATGGGCACATGACACAAAAGCTGTTTTACATATTATATATGTGTGTGTATACATGGGTAACTGTGCCAAATGATCATTAAATCTGTGGCGCTGTACTTGTGTGCAAGCTCTGATTCACTGTCCTTACTGTGCCCTGCCTTGGGGGGCTTACTCAGACCAGTTGGACTAAAAGGTCTGGTTACTCAACACTACAAACTTCTCCACAGTTAGTAGGAGGTCTTCACATGGAGGCTGAGCTCTGACTTGTATCAGCTGTGTCCAGTGTCCCTAGACCTGAAAGACCATCCCCTCCCAGGTGCAGACGCAACATGTTGCCTGAAATCTTGGTGCACAACATGTGATTTGGCCACATGTCCAGAGCTGCCTGGAGGCACAAATTTCACAGCTCTTAGAAACTGCCTAGTTTCTTAGATGGCAGCACCTGTCAGAAAGCACAGCATACATTCCTAGGGCCTGAGTTCCATACCTGCTCCAGGTGAGATGAGCAGAGAAGCTTCTCTCTAGCCCCAGCAAACAGCCTCCTGCCACTTGGGAAGAAAACTCCCTACCACACCATTCGGCAGAGTCAGTACCAGTGCCTCATCTGGTGCCCAGCATGAATGAATGTCTGAAGAATTAATTCAGATCCTACCTTTTCAGTGGTTCTTGAGGCATAATCGCCATGGTCCGAGGTTGTCAGACCATCGAGTGGCATGGACATAGGGTTTATCAGTACAGCTCGTGGACACAAGTGGCAACAAGGAGGGAGCACTTGAATACACAAAAGAAGAAAACAGAAGACATTTGATACGGGACTATTTTCATGTTTCTAGATGTCTAGGAGATTACAGTTTTTGCTTTGCTTTGTTAATTAACCTAGGAGTCTGTTCCATTAGCTGGAACATGGACTGGGATTAGATAGCAAAGACAGTGCTGTAGGATCCTAAGGAGAAAAATGAAGGCATGAAGCTGAGGGTTTATTCTGCTGAGGCCTACCATCCTGACCCCAAGAATGTGGGGACTCGTGACTGGGAAAAAATTACTGTTAGAAAAGTACAGAATTTAATAAGAGACAGTGGAGGCTATAAAGATTGTTGATGTTAGGTGCCATCTAATTGGTTATGACTCATAGCAATCTTATGCACAAGAAAATCAAACACTGCCCGGTCCCACACCAACCTCACAATTGTTATGCTGGAGCCCACTGCTGCTGCCACTGCACCTCTCCATCTTGTTGAGGATCTTTCTCTTTTTTGCTGGCACTCCGCTTTACTAAGCATGTGGTCCCTGATATTTTCAGTTTCCAACACAGTCCAGGTTATTTTTAAAAGTTTTGCAATAAGTCATTGTTCTGCAAAATTCCATCATGTGATCTCCAGCAGTGGTCCTATCACCAAGGCCGTATTCTCCCACTACTGCTCCTTCCTCTTTGTTTCTAACCTTTGCATTGTAATCACTGCATCTGGACTGCATGTTTGATCAATTTCAGACTGAAGAATGTTGGTAAAATTCTTCAGTTTCATCCCCACTGGCTTTAGTATTTGGTGCATAAACTTGACTAAGAATGGCATTAACCAGTTTTCCTTATATTATACAGGTGTAATGTTGTTAAGTATAGGGGTATGGTTACTACCTTACCACAGACAGCATTGTACTTCAAGATATATCTTAAAATGTTCTTTTTGATGATGAACGTGGTATCATTCCTCTTCAGTTTGTCATTCCCAGCATAGTAAACGTATGATTGTCAGATTCAAAATGGCCAATGCCAGACCTTTTCAACTCACTAATGCCTAGGTTGGAGTACTGTGGCGCTGTAGGATAAGCACAGGACAACAAGGTCAGTTTAAATTGCAAGGTTGGCAGTGTCAAACTCACCAGCTCCTCCTTGGAGATTCTATACGAGTTCGCTGAGTTGGAACCGACTCAATGGCACTTAATGCCTAGGATATAGATCTTTGTGCATTCCATTAATTTTCAACAACTTTCAATGTTCTTCAACTCATACTTCATACTTTCCATGTTCTGATTATTAATGAATGTTTGCAGCTATTTCTCCTCATTTTGAGTTGTGGCCCATGAGCTAATAAATATCCCAAAAGCTTTACTTCATTCATCTCATCACGGTTGAGTCTACTTTGAGGAGGCAGCTCTTCCCCAGTTATATTTTGAGTGTCTTCCAACCTGAGGGTCGCATCTTTGGGCATTGTATCTGACAATATTCTGGTGCTCTTCATCACGTTTTGATATTCAATATTATGGTGCTGACAGTGTTCCACTGCTATTCATAGGATTTTCAGTGGCTAAACACTCAGATGTAGTCTGTCTCTCCTTCTTAGTCTGGAAGTTCATCTGAATGAGGTCTGTCCACCATGGGTGACCTTGTTTTAAAAACACTGGTGGCATCACACAAGCCACGAAGTGTGACAAACTGACAGACGAGTGATGGCACAGCATGGTGGATGGAGTTAATGCCACTGAATCATACAAACGTTTGAAACGCAGCCTTCTCAGCCCCACCACAGGCTGGACTAGCACTGCCACCTGCTGTGGGCACTGACTGAAGATGACCACCTGAGAAATCAGTGCTTCAGCCACCGACAGAGAAAGGTCAAGAACGGGAGCTAGCTCCTTCCCCACCAAGCCCAGCCCTTTTCTGTGTGCTGAATATGGACCAGAGTCCTGGTGTGGCGCTGGAAAATAAACACTGGTCCGCTAACCATAAGGCTGGTGATTCAAACCAAACAGCAGCTCCTCAGAACCCCTACATCTGGATCACAGGAGCGAGCAGATGGAGTCAAGAGAGCACTCCCATTGCAGCAATCTGATAGACTGGCAGAGATCAAGGTATGAGTACTCCTTTTTCATTCTTTTCTTCTGTCTACTCATCTCCACTCTGGGGATCCAAAGGGATACCTGAACAAGTGGCCACGCCCAAGGAAGGTTCTATGCATGTAGCTGGGTACAGAATCCAGGATGGGGATGGAGTCAACAGGAAGAGCTGACAACAGGATTGTCTTCCCAAGTGGGTCTGGCTGGTCCTGGGCTGGTTCACTAGGAGAAACACCTGGACAAACTAGAGGGAAAGGAGAAAAAGGCCAAAAACAAAACCTTGGCTTATATCGTAAGGCGCAAAAAGAACATCGTGAAATTTCTCAGCAGCTTTGAAGTCACGAGGCCATAGAGCAGCACTAGAGTCTTCCTCGCATTTTGCCACCATTTCTTTTTTGGGCAGGGGGAATGCGATTTTGAACTTTGTCAAGTCTGTTTTTTCAGTCTGCCTTTTCTTTTGCCTTACCCAACAAGAGACAGCAATTGCAGCTATACAACCAAGCTACAATATTCATTCCCTATAAAACCCCACCATCTGGGCAATAGCCAATACCAACTGGTATATGCCAGAGTCCTGGTGTGGCACTGTGGTCTAATGCACTGGACAGCAAAGTCAGTTGAATTGCAAAGTCGGCGGTTCAAGCTCACCAGCTGTTCCTTGGAAACCCTAAACAGGGTTGCTATGGGTCAGAACTGACTTCACAGCACTCAACAACAGCAGCATACATCAGAGCAGCATCTACGAACAGCTGCTAAAAATACTGAATTGAGGTGTAAGAGCAATGAGAAGAAAAGCCCATCGCCGATCATATCTACCATGAGGCAAATTTATCTAATAATACAAATACAACAATGCAGTGCCTAAAAAGCCACAGAAAAGTTCTGCTCATGTGCAGAAACAAGACAGAGTAGCTCAAACAAAGGAGCAAGAGGAAGAGCTAGAATTTGCATTGAAAGGAATGCAGGCTTTGGAACTGCCCGATAAGGAATAAAGGAGAATGATATGGAGGCACATCCAAATGTTCCACAGAAAGGTCTACGAAAGTAAGTCATAAAAGCACAACAGAACAATCAAGTAAAACACAGCCTTAGAGACAATACACTAAAAGGCAAAGGAACAGAATTGAAGGGATGTAAACCAGAATCAGCAAGCTTGAAGAGAAATCTGTCAACACTGCTAAGATAGAAGAACAAGGAAAAAAAAAAATGAAATAATCTGCATGGGACAAGAGCAATAACATATGGGTTATTGGAGTTCTAGAACAGGAAGAATCAAAGAAAACCACAGAAGAGAGCTTAAGAGTTGCTAGAAAAAAACCTCCCTAACATCTTGAAAGATGAGAAGATAAGCATTCAAGAACCTGAATGAACCCCAAGCAGGATAGACCCCAAGAGAAAAATCACCAAGACATATCATAATCAAACTCTCCAAGATCAAAACAAGGAAAGGATCTTAAAAGCAGCTAGGGAAAAAGAAATGTTACCTACAAAGGCAGGCCAATAAGATTAAGCTCTGATCTCTCAGCAGAAACCATGCAGCCAAGAAGGCAATAAAAGGGAATCTACAAAACCCTGAAAGGAAAAAACTGCCAACCAAGAGTCACGTGCCCAGGACAAGCGAGTTGAGGGTGGGTCCAGGGAGGAGTGCAGGGACATCTCTAAACCCTTCCTATCTGGGAACACAGCAACATCTATAAGCCCAACAACAAGGCCATGGCAGAAGAGATGAATGAGAAACTATGATGCGCACACCAAGGAGATCGACATGGTCAACTGTGATCCCAAGCATCTCAACGATGTGCTCAAGATTGATTTTGAAAATGTGATTGCAGAACCAGAAGGGACTCACGGTTTTGACAGCATCTGGAAGGCCAGCTTCACCACCTTCACTGACAAAATACTGGTTTTACCCGTTTGCTGTCTGCTCTCTTCGGCATCCCGATGGCACTCATCTGGGGCATTTGCTTTGCCATTCTTTCCTACACATCTGGGCAGTGGTACCTTGCATTAAGAGTTTCCTGATTGAGATCCAATGCATCAGCCGTGTCTACTCCATCTACATTCCACACCTTCTGTGACCCGCTCT